AATATACAACTACATCCTTAGAAGTTCATTTTATTCACGACATTAGATGCCATCGCTTCTCTGATCCATTTGAAGATGAAATATCACAATGATGTCAGAAAACTAGTTGTCATTTCAGTCGATATATGTGAATATCGCCTCATACATGAAACCATACTAATGAACATCCTCACGGCGATTGTAGCTTTGAAGAGTAAAAGGAAAAATATTCTTCAAGCCGTCAGTACGGTCCACCTCGACGTGCAAGAAGACAAAATTTTATGAAACAACGATCTTGAACTTACGATACCATTCAAAGTGAGAACCTTAATACCAATTATGGGTGGAAACTTTGAGATTGTTCAGCGACAAAGGTCTCATTGAATTATAGGTTAAGTTATTGTATGTGGAAGAGAAAGGTCTCATTGAATTCCTAATAGCTAATGTAGACCTTTTTAAAGTTTCTCCTAACGAGATGCCCGGTGTAGACCGTAATGTGGCTTGCCACCGATTAAAAATTGACCCCTCTATCCGCTATGTGGATCAACAAAGGATCCAAAAAATTTTTAAGAAGGTTGAAGCAATTAGGAATACATTTCAGGGCTTAATGGATGATAATTTATATTTGAATTAAGGCATACTGAATGGTTGTCTAATATTGTGTTGGTCTAGAAAGCTTCGGGGAAGTGGACAATGTGTATCAATTGCACCGATCTCAACTTGGTATGACCTAAAAATTCCTACCCACTCCCAAACATATACAAGCTACTATACATTAGGTCATTTACAAGTTCTCATCATTCATGTATGCATACTGCGGCTACAACCATATACATATGTACAAGACACCACATCTCAACCCAAAACTTTAAGGTGTTAGGTAAATGGGTTATCTCTCTTATAAATCCAACATTTCACCCATTCATAGGCGATGTGGGACTTTAAACACTCATACTTGCACCTAACATTCTCCCCCATAAGTGCGAGTTCCCCACATCCTATAACAGGATCCAACACCCACAACTACAAAAAGCGCTTTTTACCTTGGACGCGAAATGCATAATACCTCGGCTATAGAAGCGAGGTAACGAAGGGCAACATAAAAATTTGCCACTTATCACCTCGGTGCTGTTAAAACCGAGAGGTAAAATTAAATGCACATGGGTTCGAACCCCGTCCGTAGCACTTTTATCATTTTCAAAACTAGCGTATCTTTCATCTCGGTTTATCTTGAAAACTGAGGGGTAAAATTATTTCTTTATTTTTTAAATATTTAAAGATCTAGATTTTAGATTTTCGAATTACTGAATCTTAGGTAAGATCAAGTGTTGGGTGCAAAATTATTCTCTACGGATCTTGCATGCATTTGATTCTGAAGCAAAACAAAATAAGGGTTAAATAAATAAAATGAATATTTAAATATATGATTTTGTGCTCAAATAAATATTTAAAAAAAAAACAAATCTTAAACCCAAGTAATTTTCTGCTCTTACAATCCATCTTAGAGAACTTTCCAAACGCCTTTATGTTTCAAGCGCTTCATGTTTCATTTAGGTTATATTTTCAATATTCATCATGCTTTTATAACGGATGTCCCTTAAGTTTCACACGGATCACTAATGGAAAATTCATGAGCGTTGATAAACATTAAATGGACGACAAAGATTTGTTTAAGGGCGTTGAATATAGTTAAAAATTGTTTAAATATCCCCTCGAACAAGAAGAAAATTGGGTGCTGTTATAGTAAAATCTTATTACTTTATGCATCGGTTAAATAGAAAATCAAAAGGTTAGAACATTTTGTTTACGCTTATAATCAAATAGAATCATAAATTGCGATAGCTAGGAATAGAAGCTTGTACTGAGTAATTTTTTCACTTTGGTTTTATGAAAAATCGAGGAAATTTAAGTTTTTTTTTTTAATTTTTTTAAATACTAAAAATTAGCGCGCCTTAACTTTATACCTAAGTTTTCTATTGTTCAAGGTAAAATCTTCATCATGAAAAGCGTTATTTATTGTAGTAACCGGATCCAGCTCTCGCTCCCCCACCAAGTTGAACCACACCGGGAGAGTCGGGAGCACCAATGGGAGTAATGCTTCAGGATCACAAGAGAGAGGGATATCACATCTCAACCCAAAACCTTAAGGTGTTAGGTAAATGAACCATCTCTCTTATAAATCCAACATTACACTCATTCATAGGTGATGTGAGATTTTAACCACTCACGCTTCCACCCGACACTTGGATGATGATGAGTAGAATGAACTTTTGTGATGTGTGTGCTTATTTACTTGTTTTCTATTTTTTTTTAGCTATTATTGTTTTTAGTGTTTTTTTTTGTTTTTTTTATTGTACTTTGAGTTGTAAAGAATAAATATTGAATGTTATTGTCATCTTCCTATTATGCATCTATTGAGTTAATTATATGTTTATTTTTAGTACTTTTATAGGCAAATAGAATATACTAAAATGAGCATAAGGGGCGCTCAACCCGTACTTGAGAATTACAATAACCGACGAACGGAAAAAGAAATTACAACAAAACCACTAACCGGCTAAATAGAACGACGGGTTATTTTTCCACACCAATGAATTAATAACAATACAACCACTAAAATTTGCAAAAAAAAATCAGTCCCTAGACAGAAGTTTAATAACCCTTACCATGTTCATCTCCTTCAATCTCCCTTTTTAAAAAATAATAGCATTTCTAGATGTCCACAAAATCCAACAAGTTGCTAGCCACAAACAACAATGGAAATCAAGTTTGAACTTGTTTAAGTATAAACTCTTGAAATATAAATACCAGGATCCCATGGAACTCTACTCCCCACAAAAATCTAGACCAAGTCATCCACCAAGACCCTCCCAAACCAAATGCACCACATTTCAATAATAAAGGAGGTGGAATAAAAGTATCCTCAGCATTAAAATAAAAAGGACAAATAGAATTACAAAGACTTATACCTCTTCTCAATAAATTATGCTTTATAGGCAACTTGTCCAACAAATATCTCCAACCTAAAAATTATATTTTGCTCGGCGCCTTTGATTTCCAAATGTCCGAAAACCCTTTGAGGATCAAAGCATCTGTCACAGTCACATTCAAATTGTTCACCGCTAAGAGTAAATAACAATTTGTTATCAAGAAACCTTTGGAATCAAAATTCTAAACAAATGAATCCTCTCCCACATGTTTCGGTTGCACATTAACTAACAGTTATTGAAGTTTCACAAATTGATCAGACACCAGATCTGAGGCATATCTGACATAAATCGGAAAAATCTACTCCCAATTCTCCCCTCTCCAAGCACACACAGATGTGATTGTAATCGGACCTGTTGTGCACCTACTATTCAGGTCTGGGAAGATAGTAGCAAGATGTGACAAGTCGAGCCATGGTTGCTGCCAAAAGTTAATACGATTGTCATCTCCAACTTTCCCGCGAATTCCCTTGTTGAACCAATTTATTTTCGGGTCAAATACCTTACCAATACCACTTATGTCTCTCCACTACAATGATTGTTTTCTCATTACTACCTTTGAAACACAATACTCAAAGAGAATGTTGAAATTCAGGTTTCTGTACCTTTCCTTTAACAGCTCGGACCATAAAAAAAATTTCTCATCCAATATCTGCCATAACCATTTACTAAGAAGAGCAATGTTAAATCTCCCTACATGTTTAACCCCGATTCCACCTTCCATTTAAACTTACAAATATCGTCCCACCAGATCCAACAAACCTTCTTTACTTCCTTGACCCCTCCCCATAAAAATCTTTGTTGAATAGATATCAACTCTTGCACCACGACTTTTGGAGCCCTGAAGAAAGAGATAAAATAAACTGAAATGTTAGACAAAATCGCATTCAACATTGTAACTCTTCCGACTAGATAAAGTGATTTGTTATGACAATCTGAAAGTCTCTGCCTCATCTTAGTAATAATGGGATTCCAAGTGATCTTCCTTCGATGATTGACTCCAACCAATAAACCCAAAAACACAAACGGTATGTTTCCAACTTTGCGCGCAAGGAAAGTGGCAGCAGCCTGTAAGAAGTCTGCAGACATATTCATACCATATACCTAACTTTTGTTCAGGTTAAGGCTGAAACTGAACGTCAATTGAAAACCTTTAAAGATAGCTTTCAAACTCCAAAGATTTGCCCATTTTTCGTCACATAATACCATTGTATCGTCTGCAAACTGCAGCGACTCAAAGTGAACCGTCTCACCCACCTTGTTTCACTTTATTTGTTAATGAGTTCCTTCACTTTACTAATTACTCATTGGTTATATAAGTGATGAGAAAATTTGAGAAAATAAATTCAGTTTGTTTAAAATGGATCTGATTTCCTGACCAAAAAGGAATGTTCTCTCCCAACATAAATTGAGTCGCACCTGCTAAACAAAATCCAAACTTTTTTGCAACTGAACCAGACTTTAACATATCCTTCCACCAAACTGAAGATGAATTCCTTGACCCAACATTCCCCAAAAAAACAAGATTCTCAATGGCTTTATATCTTGTTATAAGAACCTTCTTCCATATCGAATTTTGTTGTCTAGTATCCTCCATTTCCACTTCGATAATAGCGCGAGATTAAATTCCTCCAAAATTTTAATTCTGAGCCCACCCTTCTCCCTCGAACTGCACATTTTATCCCACTTCACCCACTGGATTATTTATTTATTTACAGTACCTCCCCAAAGAAATCTCTTTATGATCTTGTCTATATCTTTTACAATTTTTACCAGAGCTTTATAGAAAGAAAACCAGAAAATCAGATGGCTCAAAAGAATAGAAACGATGAGTGTGATTCTACCGCCCAAAGACAAGAATCTACATTTCCACAATGCCAACTTTGATCTGAATTTATTAACAATCGGAGTCCAAGTTCTGATCTGCCTAGGATTACAACCAATAGGTAATCCTAAGAAGATAAATGAATAATTTTCTAACTAACAAGAGAGAAAATTGGAAGGTGCAAAGAGGAAGTGCCAACTCACATTAGTTCAAATATGCCTACTCTTATAGAAATGCATCCCCATCCCCGACACTAATTCAAAACCCCTAAGAATAACTTTGATACTCCACATATTTTTCCACCCACCTCCTCCAATAATCAAGGTAACATCAGCAAATTGAATAATTTCTACCGATGTTCCGTTGCCCACACGAAAACCCTTGAATTCACCCAAAGCAGTAGCCCTTTTAATCAAACAAGTCAAACCTTTTGTGACAATGACAAAAACAAAGGGAGACAACGGATCTCCCTGTCGTAAACCTCTCTTAACTTCAAAATCCTTTATAGGACTTCCATTGACCATAATAGAGAGATGAAACTTGAATATACAAGCCTCCATCCACCTCATCCAAGTTTTCTCAAACCCCATTTTGATTATCAAATCTCGGAGGAAATCCAATTAATGTAATCATACGCCTGAAATCAACTTTGAATAACACACATTCGTTTTTATCCCTAGTCGCTTTGTCTATGATTTCATTAGCTATTAGGACTCCATCCAACAATTTCCTTCTAGGGATAAATGTTATCTGACAATGAGAAATGAGACCTCTGATAACTTTCTTTAACCTGACTGCCAATAATTTTGCCATAATTTTATACATACTACCAACCAAACAAATGGGTCTATATTCCCCAAGACTAATGGGATTAGTAACCTTTGGGATTAGAGACAAAAACACTGACGTAACAGCTTTAGGAATGTGGGAATGTCGATGGAAATCCTTCATAAACTGAATAATATCCTCCTCCATAAAGAACCAACACTTCTTAATAAACACGAAATTGAAATTGTTCGGTACCGGGATTTCCTCCATCACAACTCCATACTACTGTTTTGATTTCTTCCTTAGTAAAAGGACCCTCCAAAAAATCTGCTTCAGCCACTATTAAGGACTTAAACGAGCAACCATCTAACACTGGTCTGCTCAGCTCAGGCTCAAAAAACTTAAGATTTAAAAAACTCGTAACCTCCTCCTTAACTTCCCTAACCATGTCCACCATGCCATTTTTAGTTTCAACCATTCCAATAAAATTTCTCCTTGCTCTCCCCTTAATCATATTGTGGTAATAATTCAAATTGATATCCCCTTCTCTGTTCCATTTAACCTTCGCTTTTTGAATTAACATGTTATGTTTGATAGCCAAATTTCTCCACATCGATTTACACGCAATCAAACGCCTCTCCATGAGCTCCTCCACTTCATTCTCATTATTGAATAACAATTAATTGTTCATCTCGTTCACGATTTCCACTTCCTCTTCTACTTTAAGATCATACCAACCAAACACATCTTTGCTCCACCTTCTTGGCCTATCCTTTAAAGCTTTGAATTTTTCTTTAATAATGAAACCATTCCTCTCTTCTATTGAAATTTATTTCCACTCATTTTAAACAAAATTAAGAAAACCTCTGTTATCAAACCAACAATCATTTGTTTTAAAATGTTTAGGCCCTTAATCCCTTGAAAAATCTTTATCAAAATCGAATAATGATCCAAAATATCCTTTTTTCCTATGGATTGACCTAACACGCCCCATATGTTTATGATAGAATTATCCACTAAAAACCTATCCAACCTGCTAGAAGATTTTCCATTTCCTCTAAACCAAGTAAAATATTTACCTGAAAATGGCATGTCAGTCAGATCCAATTCGTCAATGAAAGCTTTGAATTCCCTCTGTTCCAAGCTTCTATTAACAACAAACATTCCTTTTTTTCGAAGATGCATATATCACATTAAAGTCACCTCCCAAAATCCACATTCCATCAGACAGTTTCCTCATTATCTTGAGAAGATCACTCCATAATTTTCTCTTCAAACCAATGCCATACGCAGAGTAAATGTTAACCACATAAAAAGCAATATTCTTCCACACAATTTTTACTCTAATGTAACCTACCCATTTGAAAGAAAAAACAGGAGATACGAATTCCTTATTCCACATTGTGATGATACCTCTTGATTGCCCCAAAGAACTACTATACGACCAATCCACATCCTGATTTCTCCACAAATCTCTATTAATAGAAGAATTCATCTCCATCATTTTTTATTCTTGTATAAAAATGATATATGCTTTGCCTATTTTAATAATGATGCTAATTCTTTTTCTTTTACTCAGATAACCTCCCCCTCTAATGTTCAGTGATCTAATGATCATGGTTCACCTTTCTTGTTCGCATTCTTACCGTTAAATTTGACATTGTCCATAGCCTCCATTTTCGCTAGAAAAAGGTAGAATGTAGAATTTTCAATGAGTGTAAACAACTTACTAATACAAGTGTGCTTGTTGAGTAAGGTCGTTTTTTTTGTAGGAGTGCTAATGTATGTCCTTATTTTTTCGCTTGCTCCGTAGTACGAGCCCTAGACAGAGCCCCTTTAATATAATGAGGAGAATGCTAAACTCAATCCCACCATTTTTTCTACCTCAATCTTTAGTTACGGCTATATAAATATATTTGGGGTGTGCGTATAGCTCAATTATTTGAGCTTTTAACCTAATGGTCGCAGGTTCAAGTCTTGTTATACCCAAACAAACCTACCTTACATTATACCTAGGAATTAATAAGTATGCGTAGTAACATTCAAAGATTTCTCTTTGGCCTTTAGACTCGCTTCAACGACTTTTCTTTCTAGGTGAATGAGAAGAGGTGAGGTAAGGAGGTGTCGTCGCAAAAAAAAAACAATGACATAACCATCAATATAAGTGAAAAGTAGGGGTGAGAATGATATTGGCTGAGTTAGGCTTTACTAAGTTTAAATATGACTTCTATCTTGTCAAATACTTATTTGTAGGCATGCGTTTGAGGCTTTTTAAATGTTTGATCGGCCTATTAGCTTATTTAAAGGTTTATTTTATTTGAACATATATAAATAATCAATTTAATTAATATTTGTATATACTAAAAAAAACTAAAAGATCGGTGATACTAAAAATTTGTTGCATTGATTTATCTGAACTTATTTAATAACATAAATTCTGAAAGATTATTGTTTAAGAAAACTATGTAAACAATTTATGACACTATTTATAAGGTGTTTTTTTAATTCTAATTAAAAACACAATATACAATATAATAATAATAATAATAATAATAATAATAATAATAATAATAATAATAATAATAATAATAATAATAATAAAATTATTCATATTATTTAAATAGGTGATAGGTTAAAAAAAATTTATAGCCTAAGATCTAGCACTTTTAATTAAATAGGTTTGGAAATATATATATATATATATATATATATATATATATATATATATATATATATATATATATATATATATATATATATATATATATATATATATATATATATATATATATATATATATATATATATATATATATATATTTAAAAAAAGTTTTACCTGAACTAAACTAAATTTATATAAAATAGTTCATATATCTTTATTAGTTGGTCTAATTTATTCTCAAACAAAAAGTAAAAAAAAATTGAAATCATAACAAAACAAAAACGCCTAATAAAGATAAGACTAAAGTTTATTATTTAGATTGTTTGATCTTAATTATTAAAAAAAAAAAAAAAAGTTCACTAATGTGTCGACAGGATGTATTTGCATGCAATACAAATCCCTTTAATTCAATCATATTGAGCAATATGGTCTTTGTGATCTTGTAAAATGGATCACCGCACAAAGTATATTACAGTTAATTTGTGGTTAAACAAAATCGGTTAAATAGAACATTAGAAACTATTTATAACAATTAAACAATAGTTAGATATACCCTTTATTTATTTTTCTATAATTAAATTTCGACTAATTTGCACATAGTTTTCTCGAAAATATTGAGACAAACTTTGATATTGAGTTTAAGCATAACCTCTTGAAGAAACAAACAACAACATATGTTAATGTAACAAACAACCAACATTCTTAAATTAGTGACCTCATTGTGTTCTAGCTTAGTAGAAAACTTTGATAGCTAGATGTACATGGTGGTTTGATTTGTGCATGGCGTGTGAAAACTCAAAAACGCAACAAGAAAACAAAATTGGGACCCCTAAAAACTTAAAAGGTGAGCGTGCTAAGATGCTGAGTGAATGATAATGAGGAACAAACAAAAGATGGTGACTCCTTTGGCATCTTTCATTGACATGTGATGAGAAATGTATTCTACACCGTTGTTTCACAAAACTCCATTTAGATAGATGGATATACATCAACCTAGCTAGGTAATCAACAAGGTTATCTCAAACGCTGCCCATTTCACCAAACAGGTATACAATAAATCATTGCTAGCTACACTACAAAAACTCTCAAATCAATCACCCTTTACTCAAAGTATGAATTAGACCTAGAGAATAAATCACTATTTGCTTTACATGTTCATGAAAAATGAATGGAATGTGAAATAATTTTTATTTAAATATATTTATGTAAAAGTAAATTTAAGAATAAATGTATATTTAACTTTAAATATTATATTTATTTAGGGTATATTTGATTCTATTTTTAAATTTTCTTTGTAATTAATTCAAGATACAATTAAAAATTTTAATTTTTAAATTTTCTTTGTAATTAATTCAAGATACAATTAAAAATTTTAATTTTAACTTTAATCAATATTTTCATATTTAAGTTTCAAAACTCACATTTTATATGAATATATTTAAATATAAGTTGATTTTTTGATTTACTTTGTCAGAATTAGTTTTCAGAATTAATAACTTAAAATCAATTTTCTAAATCTAGCTTATTTTGTTAAATCACTTAATGTTTGATTATATTTTTGAAAGATTAATTATAAATATGTAGGATTGATTTTAATATATATATATATATATATATATATATATATATATATATATATATATATATATATATATATATATATATATATATATATATATATATATATATATATATATATATATATATATATATATATATATATATATATATATATATATATATATATATATATATATATATATATATATATATATTCTCAAAAGAAAATATGTTTATAGTATATCATCGTAAGTATTGGATGTAGAGAAATAAATCTCTCCAAAATGATTGGAGCTGCAATCAATGAACTTTTATCCTCACTTATTTTTGGTTAAACCTAAACCTTATTTTCATCTAACTTTTGTCACTTTATCTTTTTATATATGTTGGTGCATACAAACCCACATGGCTTGTCGAAATTAAAATATATAGACAATATACACTTTAATTGTTAGGCTAACTTTGGCTTTAGTAATGATTACTGTAAAGATGTGTATTTGATGAAAGGAAAAGTAATAGATTATGGAATTTACAACTCATATGGAAGCAAAGGTCGATGATATTAGGGCACGCGTAATATTGACTTGATTATTATTTTTA